CCATCAGTCAGTCTGTGTTATCTGCCACCACTGTGCCCATCAGAGATTGTGACTTTTACTGTAATTTTAACAGAGACCCTGGATTTTCAGCTTTAATCTCATAGCGTAATCCCTTGAAGTCTTCCACTGTTAAGCATTGGTATCAATTATCAATCTTGTTGATAGCTACTAAAACCATAGTGCCTTAAAGATTATGACATCGTAGATACTTCTTTCTAAAACATGCTCTGAATTCTTTTGTTGAGAAGACACAGAGAGAGAGAGAGAGAGACACGTGTCTGTGGTATGTGTATATATGCACAGAGAAGTTAAAAAGGACTGTCTCTAACTGCTCCTTATGTAGGAGAGACAGAAAAGCAGAAGGGGAGACATTAACACAGCAGTAGTGTGAGGAAAAAATCTTGGCCCTACTCAGTATTCAGCACTTTGAGGAAAGAGATTGCATCCGAATTCAGTGGACAATTAGATACAAGTTAATGGAAGGAGCTATTGACTCCCATTTGTGGTAATTAAATGACATGAATCTGACAGACTGGCTGCTGTGGACAGGAAAAGTTTCTTCTGTGATTCTATGATTTACTCTTTTAGCATATTTGCAGACTGGGGAGTGAGAGATTTGCTCATTCTTATCCCCACAGAATTTCTATTCAATATTTTAATAATTAGGCTGTGGTAAAAGGTGAGTGAATGTCATCATTACTGAAAATAGGCAGACACAAGGGACGGGACTAAAGGCAAAGTTTCAACTGTAGTACAAGAAACCTGGCCTGAACTTTTCCCAAATTTGTAGCTACTTGGGATGATGCTAATCTTGATTTTTGTAATTAAAACAAAGCAAAAACACACAAGCTTATAAACATGTTTTGTACAGTTTAGCTGCTATGCAAGTACACATAACCATGAACTGCCTAGGCTTGTGGAGAAGATTAAAATCAAAAGTCATACCAAAAGCAGAGAGAAGCAAGATAAGATTTAGTCCATCTGACTTTGCTCTTCCTCTTATTAGTTCTAGCCAAACTCACATCCATTCCTGAGTAATCGATGGTTGTAGAGCCTGGCTTTGTCCAGTCATCCACTCTGGCAGTGTAGGATCTTTTAATTGTGATCATAAGAAAATTAATTCTTCCTGACTAACCTTTAGGCTATGTGCTCTGCTGAACACAATAAAACAAAGGGCAGTACTTTTTTGTGAATATGGGTGGCTCTATGCTTTGACAATTGCTACTGAGAGCTTTATCATTCTATAGGATATTTTAAGACCCTAAATTTCTGTTTGCTGATAAAAACCTTCATATATAATATGTACTTTTTTTCGTAATTGTGAAATATTTCAGAAGGAGGTTCTGAGCACTTGCTGTGCTTAGATTTTTTCTTCAGATTTCTTACAAAATGTAATGCTGAGGCCTGAAGAACTGGCTCTGAGCCAAAGTTGACCTATAGGTAGACCCTGCAACCTAATATTATATTTAACCTAGTATTGCATTTAGCCATATATGTGCTTATTAACCAAGACGCTGCATAATCCTTAGTAATTCTTTAAGAATACACATTCATGTTTGTTAGCACAGCATATTATTAATAATTAGTAAGGTTTGTATGTGTTATAAATATGACTTTTCAGCCAAGGCCGTGAAAACAGTAGGCCTCACATGGTTGCAGCTGGTTCATATTTGAGATATCAATGTAGCCATAATTCTGTATTTAGAGACTAGTCAAGGCCATGGGGTGTTTGATAATAGTCAGTCCAAACTGACTCCCTTGGTCTCCCTCTGGGCATTGGCCAGGCCTCAGGGGAAAACCAAGGAGAAGAATAAAGACAGATTGTTTTTCCACACCAATTGAGTGATGTAAGCTGGTTGGTTTAACACTATATAAGCTGAACCCTCTCTCAGCAAAGATGGAGGCTTCCCCTATGGGTGGACACACCGCATAGGATTTCCCAGTTACCGGGAAGAGGTTCTACAGTCCTTCAGTGTGATAGGGGCCTTCCCAACTGAAGTGCTGTATGAATGATGATAATTACTTAGGGTAGCTGATGATGTATCTCTTTCTTAATCACTATAAGACTTTCTTTGTAGTAATGATTAGATGCATTACTAAGTGTATCCTTTCATAAGCCACTGCTTCTTTTGTAATTCTTTACTTGTTTGCACTATAATAAACTTATACACTTATTCTTTAAAGCTGGTGACTGTGTTCCTTAAACCCATCCTCATTGCCTGAGGTGGGGCGGGGACAAAACAGATTGGCAAAACACAAGTGTTTGATCAAAATGTCTAAATTTTTCTGGAATTTTCACATCATGTAACTACTCCAAAAATTTTTAGGTGCTAGAAGTATTTGCAAAAATTCTATTTCAGAGAATAGGACTAGCATCAGTCAATGTCTACAGAACCCAAATATATTCATTTAAAAACCACTGCCAATTTACTTGTGCAATAGAAATGTACAATAGCTATTGAATTTTTAAGCTAACCTGTAGATTTTAAAGGATTAATAAAATTTGTCTATAGATTTCAACAGATTTGAAGTATTTATCCTGTCAACATTTTCTGTAGTAACATTTTCTGTAAGGGAAACATTTTGCAGAACCTAAATTTTAAAATATTAAAATTCAAAGTTATCCTATCTATTTAAGTATTACCATGTATTTTTGTGGGGTTTTTTGGGGGGGATGAGTGGGTGATGGTTTTATTTTATTGCTTCCTGGACTGGAATCAATGGGTTTTAAATGTGATTTACATGGGAGTTTTTTGGTTTGGTTTGGTTTTTTTCCTACTTAGTGCTACTTTTGGGATTGATACTGACTGCTTAGATGACTCTGAAGCTAGTTAGAAAATACCTAAATATTAAATAGATGCATGAGTGCATCTTGGGGAGGTGGTATTATGGATGGAGAGCTGTCATCATATCCTTTACAATTACTTTATCATGTGCTCCTGTGGTGTACACCTGTGGCTTGTTGGCAAGGCATTTAATTCAAAGGACTATTGAACACCATGCATTTTCATACAGAATCAGTACAGAGTTATTTAACACAGGTGTTTCTGTGAAATTGTGATGTATTGGAAGATTCACAGTGTTCAGTAGCCTTCAAAATTACGCCCACCACCTGTGTGGTGAAGTAGTTTGGAAATAATACCTCACTGATGTCAATAATAACCTCTGCTGTTTTACAGTTAGGCATCTGCATGTATTTATGCTGAACCATGGTTCAAGCATATGACGATGAAATTTCTCAGGTATTTAAATGTTACCAATATTTCCAAATATTCTCTTAAAGGCACAGTACCTAGATGAGTTTTTCTTTTTTAAACAGGATGTTACCAATCCTCCTTGCTGTGGACTTTGAGAAGTCAAACAAATTTTACCACATTCTAGAAATATTGTATTGTGAAACATTGGGATGACTTTAATTCTCTATAAGAATAAACATTTTGACATATATATTATTTTAGATTATAAAGGTACCAGCAGTGCTGAGACTGAAGGTGCTCATGTCACTTTTTTTTAATGTTTTGAGGGATTTTTGTTTTGTTTTTTTAACATAAAGGTGAGACACTTTCAATTTCTGTGAAATGTTTATATTTGAAATGCCAACAGGGGTTCTAACCAGACTACCAGCTTCACAAAGGGGAAAACAAGTGCTTCCCCTGAGTTCCACCCAGCACTACAGAGTGACCAGTTGAGCTGGCAGGCAGAATCTGTGAGAAACAGGATCCTGATGTATCATTGCTAAAGTTGGTAGCTCACATCTCACCTGCAGGGCAGTTAGCCACAGGGAACTATGGAATTTTGTAGGCCCTTTGTGGGATGATGGATAGAGTTAAAGCTAGAGGCGATTCAGAATTTTAAAGTAAAAAGCAGCTGCAACTCCCAGGATGGACTGAAGTCAACATGCTCCCCAGTACAATGATAAACATCTGCTCAGAGAAACAGAATGGACTGTGGAATGAAGCAAAGCTTACCTGCCCCCCTCCATTCTAATCCCAGCAGAATGGGAGAATATTGTGGTCCTGAGACCATACAGTACCTGTCTGACAAGAGAGAATCTAGATGTTCTTCTGCTGAAGCCAACAATCATGTTGAACCCCCTACTCAGGTGCCAAACCATGACCACCACCCCCCCCCATTAAATGCACCAATCATAAATAAAAGATATTTATGACTAGACCCACTCAAACTTCATCCAAACATAAAGAAAATAGAATAAAAGTAAATTGGGAATAGGGGGAAAGTGGGAGAAGACCTCCACTGGAACTGCTAGGATCAGTTGATAGGCTGAGTCCATCTTTTCCCTTCCCAGAGGGATGCCTTGGGTGAGAAATATACTCTCTGCATGTTGAATGCTGCTTTTAGAACTAGAGCTTTTGCTTGTGCTTACCCCATAGTGTATTAGTAAATTGTTTCGTATTAGAGCTTGTACTTACTTAATATATGTATCAGTAGATTGCTTTAAAACATATTTTTGCAGTGGACGCTATCGCCAACAACCTTTGAACCTTATTAATCTGTCATAAATTGTATTAATAAAAAGTGTTATTCTGTAAACTGTTCAGTGAGTCCTTGTAATCATTGGCAGCAGATAACACCAGGCGTAGGACCCGCTGAGAGGTCTTGGCTCTGTTGAGCTCCCCCTAACGAGGGAGGTTGAGGTACCCTGCAATCTTGTAAATCAGTTGATGAAGGGTCTCACTGGGAGACTGTTGGGCACCAGGCTCTCAACTCTCCTGGGGATGCCAACAGACAAAATCTAAACTCCCACCTTTCGCATGACACCACCACTTTGTAGAAGGTGTTCCTGGGAAGCTATACCTTGCTTCTGAATAATGTGATAGATTCTAGTACCCAGGTGTTTGGAAACACATTTAACTTGAGTTTTTCCTTGTCTCAGTTATGTAGCTTTTGCTAGGTGTTAACAACGGAAGGGACAGCCTGAATTATGAGTTCCGGTACATACCACGCAACTACTGGCAATTGGTTTTTGTCACTCTTCACAGTACCTGAATGGATTTTGGAGGGAGCAGTAAAACTGACAGCTGATAAACCACATATATTACCACAGTGGTGGTAAGTCATTCAAAGGGAAGTTTGCATGTATATCTTTTTTAGGAAAGGTTGAGGGGTTTTTGTTGGTTGTTTTGTTTTATTTTTTACTTTTTCTTTTTTACACTTTTTTTTAACCTTAGCCTCATTTTTAGAAATAGCTAAAATGTCCCCAAAACTTTCACCAAAGGTTGAAAGGTTGGAGGTTTGACAAATTTTATCTTGCTAAGCAACACATCATGAGAAATGTCAGGCAATCATAAGAGGTGGTGCTAGCTGATTTGTTCCAGTTTTACTTCTGTTTCATAATTGCGTAACTATTGATTTCTCTGTAGCTAACCCAGTAGCCAAATTAAATTAGCTGCAATTAAAATGAAAGCAAAATTTAAAAAAAAAAATGAAAAAAGGAAATCAAAGGACTGTGAAGAGCTAAAATTTAAAAGAGATGTAGAGAATCTGGTGTAATGTGAGAGCTGATATTTCAAGGACTATCATAGCAAGGATGGCAGAAGGCCAACATGGATCAGCAAGTAACTTCTGATTGAGCCTAACCAGATAAAGGAAGAACTCAAAAGCTGGAAGCAGAGATACAGTAGCTGGTAGGAATACAGAAACATTGCCTAAGCATGCAGAGATGGAGCTAGGAAAGCCAAAGCTCAGCTAGCTGGAATTGGAACTTGTGAGGCATGTGAAGGACAGCCAGGAAGGCTGGCATAAAAGGAAGGTGAAAGAAATGTGGGACAACTTCTTGGTGGGGCTGGAAAGATAGTGACAAATGTTATGGAGAAAGTCAAGGTACCCAATACTATTTTACCTCACTTTTTCCACTGGTTAGATTTGCCCACATGCCTTCTAGGTCCTCAGGCCTGTTAGCAAAGTCTGTGGGAGAACAGTATTACCAACAATAGAGGTAAGATCAAGTGAAGATGTACTTAAGCCATACAGACAAACACAAGGTCACGGGGACACAAGGGTGCTGGGGGACTTAGCTGCTGTTGTTGTGAGGCTGCTGATAATTTGAAAAAGAGAAATGATACTCCATCTTGAAGATGAGGAAGAAGGAAGATCCACAAAACTACAGGCCTGTCAGCCTCACCTCATGTCCTACGAAGTCTTCACTAACAAACTGGATGCTTATGCGGAGTACACTTTCCATACATTTTTGGACAACAGGGGCCTGAAGAAAGGCTGGAATATGGGTGTGCTGTTCAAGGGACAACACAATCCAGAGAAAAGGGATGAAAAGAACTGACTGAAGTTCAGCTTTGGTAAATATAAATTTCTGCACCTGGGATGGACTAAGCTCATGCAAGACTGCAGACTGTGTCATCTGGCTAGAATGCAGCTTCACAGAATGCAGGACCCGGGTTTCTAGGCAAAAAAACAGATGAACTGGAGGAGTCAGCAGTGCACCATTCCATCAATGAAGGCCACCCTCATATTTGACTAGATTAGAAATAGGACAGCCAACAGTTCAAGCAGTAAATTTTGTGCCCCACTCTTATGTGATCAAAGTATTGTATTCAGCTTGGGGCTCTTTGATAGAAAACATTGACCTAGCACTGGAACAATATAGAAAGATAGACCCAGGCTGTTCTCAAAGGTGCACAGTGGAAGAAGGAGAAGCAACAGACACAAGCAGGATAATTCTAACTAGATACAAGGGAAACATTTTCATCATAAAGGTGGTGGTCATTCAGGTAGAGCAGATGCCTGGATAATCTGTGGGATTTCTTCTGTTGGAGATAATTTAAACTCACCTCACACTATCATGAGTAACCTGATCATAGTGTGGTGGGGTAAGTTGGGTTAAATGGTCTTTGGAAGTCCCTCCCAACCTATGTTTTCCTGTGATCATATAGAAATGCTTAAGACAAACTTTATATTCTAAGGAAAACAGTCATGGTGGTAATTGTGCTGTAGGGTATAGATTTACTTGAATTCTGTTGTAAAATTTATCTATATTTTACAGTTAACAGATTATATATCATAATTCTCTTGAGCAGAATGCATCTCTTTAACTCCTAGATACCTAGATAGCATGAAACCTTTATGACATTAAGGTCTGCTAAACTCTTCCAGAATGCTGACCACCTAGAAGGTAGTGTCTGTATAAAATATATTTGTTAAAATACCCTGTGGAGACAATATATCTATCTAGTCTTAAATGATGTTTTACAAAAAAAAAAAAATTACAAGCAGCAGGCATAACAAGAAAGTAGGGTGATAAAAAATTTAAAACACGGAGCCATAGATGAAAGTGTTAAACTAAAAACGAAAAAAAAAACCCGAAAACCAGCAACATTGCAATAACACAGAAACAGAGACAGAAACAAAAACAAAAACAAACAAACAAAATAACACAGCAAAAAACTAAACCAATGCCAAACACCTTCCTAGGCCTTTTGCAGCAGAAAGAGAAAAAGCCAAGGAGTATATTTTTCATGGAAATGAAAATTATTGCAGAGTATTTATTCATATATTTGAGCAGAGTCCTCTAAGATCAGAATTAATCTTGATGCAGTTCAGCTGAAGGCCCTAAAGTTGCATCAAGGAACAATAGGTACATTCTTCCAGCACACCATCCAGTTGTTATTTTATTAATTTGTTCAGTCTGTTAAAAAAAGGAAACAATCCTGACTCCTGAGCCTCCTCTAGTGTCCTAAAAATGAAAGCTAGTCATGTATACTCAAATCAAAGCAAAGTAAAGCAAAGTACAGAATCACTGATGAATCTTGCCAAGGAGGTATTCTTAAGCCTACACCTTTTACTTCCTTCTTCTTAATTTTCATGGTGCAAAATGAAAGTTTCCAATTGCTTTCACATACCCATGTGTTTTCTTGTGGTTTTGACTGGTAAAAGATGTAATAGCTCAGCCCTGCTTTTTCACAAATACTAGCAACAGTGTATGAAAATACAAGAAGCAAACAAACAGATGCCCCACTCCAGTTTTCTTCTCTTAACAATTAGCTAGTTACGTTTATCTTGTTCATGTCCATGCATCAAAATTGAAGAAGCCAGTTATTAAGACAGTCAATAGTTATATCCAAGCCCATTTGGAAAGCTGATACTGCAACATTTTAATGACACCCTATGTTTTTAGGCAATTATTTTAATGAATATTCTGTCTGATTTTACTAAATACCATGCTCACATATTTCCTTCATTTTTCATTACATACCTCATCAGTGTTTTGAATATTTCTTTTCCAGTAAGTTGTGTGTGCATTGCCAGCAGTATTGAATCAATACATCATTTTATGACCATACACTTTTTACTACCAACTGTAAATCTACTTTTTTTTTTTTTTTTAAATGTATGACTTCGGTTGAAAAGCACTCAAATTTTCTTAGGTCAGCATTAAGTTATATGTATATATACGTAATTCATAAGGAATCGACATGAAAATTATGTTCCTCGCATGCTCACTTTTAGTCCTCGTAACAAAAGACAGAAAATATGAGAGACTCTGTTTCTTGGAAAATAAGGAGGGTTCGCAGACTGCCATTCATTCTATGTAGTTTTGATTAATTCATTTGAATGAAGACTTATTTAAAAGCCATCAAAATTGATAAAAATACTTTTTTTTACATAATTTAATTTCAGTTTTATACACCACAACAGATGTCGGTTTGGACTCTTATATGACTTATTTAAATATAATATTTTATTCATCTAGGAATTATAATTCTGCATTAATTTGAATTTAGAAGAAATTAACCCCCTCCCCAAATCCCAAATCCAACTAAGAAATAGCATAATTATAGAGGTATTCTCCCTTGCTGTACGGTGGGGAAATCAATACAAATACTGCTGAAGTATTTTCAGCCAAACTAAAGCAGGAGTAACACCATGTAACACGTGTAATCAAACAAACATAGCCGCATATTTCTTATGTCAAAGCTACAACTTTCCAAAGCAAGAATTTTAAGAGGTTTAAGTAATTTTCCTTCACCCTATATGCTGATAATAATGAAACTAAATGTTTACTTTTAATCTACTTCCATATAAAAACTGATTCCCTAAAGTCAGAGTTCGTAAGAAATAACAACTGTATCTTTTTTTTTCCCCCCCAGGGAAAAGAAAGGAGGAAGAACAATATTCAACTGCAGCTTTGATATTGAAAGTCATGTGAATTGAAAATATTTCATGGTTAATGAAATGTGTAGTCAAGGTCAGAGTAATGCTGTCTTTAGAGTTTTAACTATGATGAATTTACTCTTCTTTGTCATCTCCTCCCAAAATTCAGAAACAGCCTTACATTACCTTGAAGTAACAATGGCATTACCCTTAAAATGAGAAACTCAAATGTTGTCTGTTCTGTCTGAATTTTAGGCCAGGTGGCCAAAAAGATAATGTGACAACTTTAGGAAAGTCATGTTTTCTGAGCTGATTCATTGACTCTTCCTTAAAAGCTGACAATGAACAATACTGAAAAAAAGAAAGTAGAGACAATATTTTTATGCTACACGGTGTCATATCAGAAAGAAGGTTCAGGTTCACAATCTTAAATCCTGATATGTCTGGGGAAGGTTGAGGTTTTAAACTTTAGGAAAGATTCTCAGACCCATGACAGAGTCATGATAACTTGCACCTCCCTCAGAGAGAAGTCGGGGTGACTAAGAAATGTCAAGAAGCTTCATAGTCATAGTCTGTCTCGTTTATAAATTCTAAATCAGATGCTCTCTTTGAATATCTAATGCTTTCCAAAATCTGCCGGAATTTTTAAGTATACTTTATAAATTTTTAAGCACTTTGTAAAACTTTCCATGACAGCTGGAAAATAAAGAATTAGCCTTTGCTTATGATATTAAGGTAGCAATTTTCCATCAGAACAAATTCATCAGAATTTATATGAGGTAAAGGTATAAGTCTTCTCTGATACCTCTCAGCAAACTCAGATACAAAATTGATATTTATATAAGTATGGCTATTGATTAAAATCACATTTTCATATTTTGCGTCTCTTTTATCTCAAAAATGGCTTGCAAAAAGATCATCAGATTTTCTCTCCAGGATAAAGTCTATTATTTGTTGCATTGTGTACTATCATGCTGTTCATTTCAATGAGTAATTTTTGGCTGAGTTTTGATGTTTTATTGCAGAATTAAATCTTTAATAGTGGTATAAGGAAAAGAAATAATGAGTAGCAAACTGTGTATTTCCAACGTGGAATTTATGAAAGTTTGGAGACCTAATAGTAACATTCAACTTGAGAACACTAGGCGATTTAAGGTGGATCCAAACCAATGCATTAGTCAAGGTATGCAAATCAAGAGAAATGGATCTGAGCAAATTGTTCCACTATTTCTGTTGTTCACCAGTTATAAAATAAACAGAATAATGACCTAATATATGTGGTAAGCATGTCTCTTATTGTACCTGAGAACTGAAAATGAAAAAAATGCCACAACTCTTATCAGAGTCGATATGAAAAAGACTGGTTGACCTATTACATCTTGGTAGATAACGATAAATTCAGTGACCACTGTGAGTTTTCTTCTGCAAACTTGTCATCACCCACATTGCTCCTACTTTGTAACAGTGTAAAGCTAGTCCATTTGTTTCCACAGCTTTTTCCCCAGCCTATTGCAATGAAGACTAAATCATTAAAGTCAAGTTTTTCTGAGAACTTTCAATGTCTTCACTTTATTCCATTTTCCCCTCTCTCTCCCTTGCTTTTCTTTTGCTATTTGATGGGAAATTACATATTTACTGAGGTTGTATTCCTAGAATTTCTGTGTTCAAGAGGGCAAAAATGGTAGCAATATACACTGGAGTAATGCAGCCCATATTTATTTTTAGGGAGGTAAAAGAGAGGAAGGGCATGAGCATGAAATATTCTGATATGTTTGTGGCAACTACAATCTACTCTGCAGTGTGGTCATCTACCCCACTAAAAGAACTCATGGAAATGTAGTCAGACAGATACTGGATTGGAAGGAAGGGGTAAGGAATAAGCTACCCCACGCAAAATATTTTCACTTAAATATCAACACAAAATTTAAAATAGAATAGACTATTTCAGTTGAAAAGGACCTACACCAGACATCTAGTCTTTTACATATGCAGCAAATGCAACCTCTCCATTCAAAAGGAGATCAAGTCATTTTAAAGCGAACATGTAAGTAAAAAAGGCACATTTTCCTTTGTTTAGTTCTCAACAGAAAATGGTTGAGAAAATGGTTTCTGGCTGGATAATCAGTAGTAGACACCCACCACACCTCCTTTGTTTTCCATCCCCCTAATCCTCACCCAGAGGATCTCAACCCCATCACCACTAACTGTAAAGGCTGTGTAATCAAACCTCTCCCTTAACTATGGTGTGATACCTCCACCTCACCTGCCCTGCCTATTCCTCCTGAACAGCCTGTAACCCTCCATCTCAGCATTCCAACTGTGGGACTCATTCCACCCAGTCTCACTAATGCCAATGATATTATAGCTCTGGAAGCTCACCAATGCTTACAATTCATCCTGTATGTTTCTCATGGTGCATGTGTTGGTGTACAAGTATTTCAGATATGCTCCTGAGCCCTCTGTGCTCCCAGAAGTGTGAATGTTCCCAGTGGTATTGACACCCCCGGGCAGTGCAATGGCAGCCCTTGGCCTACCTACTGCAATCCTCAGTATCCAGCTTAAAGTCCACTCGTTCAGCCCCGACAGCTTATGCCCAAAGATCCATTTTACTCACTAGGACAGGTGGATCCTGTCAAACTCCAGGCGTAACTTATCCTTTGAAGTCTCTTCACTGGTTTAAAAATCCAACGTTTTGGTGGAGATAAATATAATATCAGCCACCATAGTAATGGATGATGATGACTTTGGCTTCCTCATACAAAGGTAATACTTCAGCAGATAGGACTATTATAGTTGGAAAAGATAGGCAATGATGCTTTTCATTTCAGATGATATGCTGGGCTGAGACAGTGTTAACAACCTTTTGCATTTGACAAAGTAAGGAAATTATGCTACATTATCTAAGTAAAACTACATTTTCTGTAGTTATGAAATCCTGTCACCTGCAGAGATACATACTATTTGCAATGTCTTAAAGTGATGTCCAAACTTTGGGCTTTTATTATTAAATAATTAGATTTTACAAATATTCTTTTATGTGAACTGAAAGAAAGGAGCCATCCTCACATTGCCCATTTACAGGAAAGGTCAGCTGAAGTTTGCGTCTGGTGTTTGAGTAGTGCTTGGCATTCTTTTCTTACCCTCTCTCTGCTTCATAAATCATCACACACAGAAAGGTCAGGAACAGAGAGGAGGTAAGATACTAGCTAAATAAGGAGTAAAAAGTTCCTTTCCTTCTGGAAATCATCAGAGCTGAAAGGGAATTTCTAGAATCCTTTTGGGATAGGAAAGAAGACCTGAGTAGTTGAAATGTTTGGATTACACACTGTACAATTCAGCTGCTTGGATTCAGCTCATACCCTTGAATAAATAAAGGAATTAACTTTGTGTAAATCTGTCCAAAGCCAGAGAATAGTTACAGCTAGAGTTTTTTCTTTTAATCTGTGCTTATTTCTACTTACAGTGTGTGGTTTTTCCGTTCCCACACTCTTTTCCTTTGTCCAACCTTACTTTTACTTGTGTTCTTGAATATGGGAAAGGACAGAGGAGAACTAAAAAGAAGACAGTTTTTGCCATTTTCTTCACCTGTCACAATTTTAAATCTTATAGTTTTAGACTTGCACTTTCTTCAAAAAGATTGAGACAAAATTAACCTCTAAATTTTATATCACATAGCAACAGGTTGCCTTCAGAAAAAAAAATGGTAAAGAAAAAGAGATTTTCTTTGTTTGTCTCCCTACTTGTTTTGGTTGGATATTTCAGATTACTGAAAATTTTACCAAATAATGTTTTGGACAGTTTGAAGCAGAAGCTGATACTAAACTCAGGATGATTTCACTGAAGCTATGAGCCTGAAACATTTTGCTCGTACAAACTGGCCTATATATTTCTGTAGTGTTGTATGGAATCTGGCTGATTCCCTGGCCTTTTACAGACATTTGTACAGTTCTATGAATAATACCAAAGTGGTCAAACAAGAGCAACTTTAAAGAAATTATTATATCTAATTCATACCTATTTGAAAAAAAAAGGATGAGCTGTGTTACATGCACAGCTTTTTCACAGTGACTTTTATGGGCAATCTAGCTCATATCCAGCAAATACCAGTGTAACCTTGACTAGATCTTCATAAGCTTAAGTACAGGGACTTGCAATTCTTGTTCATTCCATTCATGGTTTTATACCTTTTTGTCATGAAATATCCTTAGCCCTGCTCAAGGAATTTATGTGGTAAAGGAAGAAAACATTTTTAACATGGTTAGGCTGTGTCTGATGGTAAGGTTGGGAGTAATGAAAGACATCTCTCTGTTCATATCACTACAACAAATACCCTACCTTATTGTTTTGGAAGAAATCTGAAACACTTGTGAGAGGTGTGGACCTGGTGAGAGGCCCAGGATGATTTTATTTGCAAATATGGCAGAAAATTGTTTTTTCTTCCATACAACTTACAATAACTATAAAATAATATGAATGTTTATTAACATCGACCCTTTTTTTTTGACTTTAACAAAATACTTATTGTTGCTTCAGAATATAAATAGCCTGTAAGAGTCCAAATTTGGAACCTGTTACATTGAGTGTTGAACAAATATGCAATGTGAAGGGAACACTGAAAATACAGAAAACAAATGTTTCTAATATAAAATTTTAAGACCTTCTTTCCAGAATGAGACCTGCAGAGTTGTTCACACAGAACTTGTCCAATTGTGTATGTTCTTACAGAGACCATGCGTGCAAATTAAGTATTTGGAATGTATACATGCCCAGATTGGTAAAATATGTTAAGACATGTTCTAGATAAGTTTAAAATTAGTACTGATGAACGCAGATTTTTTTGAGAAGATTTAATTGACTTTGCAAGTTATGTTCCCTGATCTTCTCTCTAGAAGGACTTCCTTAAAGAACAGCAGAAGCTTGTGAAGAAACAAGGTTTAATTAGAACATAACCTGGAATACTTAAATTCTTACATTGAGAGAACTTATAAAGAGTAGCTGAGGCAGGGCAAAAAATCTGAAAAGGAAAACTTACAAACCACATTTTTCCTTCCTTCTTTCTTCTTCAAAGTCAGGTTCTTACTTTCAGATTTAACAAGCATTTCCAGATTACAACAAACTTTCTCAGTGCTCTCTACTCCCAGAAAAAAGCTTTTTCATCCCCTCCAAGATGCAACTGTGATCCCCTTGCCAAGGTCCTTGTCTGTAAGAACCAGGTTCCTAAGTCCTAGATGAGATTCTTTCTTCTTAACACTCCTTGAAGCCGGAACGTCCTCTCCCAGAGGGGCATTTGCCTTCCCTCTCATTGTCAGCAGCATCTCTTCTTCCCTCCTATCAATACTCTGTTGGGAACAAATTGAGAATAAAGAAATAAATCCACTAACACCTTCCACTGTAGACACAAACATATTAAGAAAAGTATTTCCTTACTTCCTTCTGGAACATAAACTCAGGAGAGTGATTTAATGTGCACAGTTTAACTTTTCTTAGGCAAGCAACCCTTTCTTAAAGGCATGTGAAACCCAAACTCAAATGAACTTTCCCTTGTGAGCAGTCTTCTTTAACAGGCTGACAAAAAGTTAACATACTTAGCGAATATCATGACAAAATTACTTTTGACACTGTTATTTATACTATGTCTTAAGTGAAGAAGAATTCTGGTTCTGTAACAATATTCAATCAGAGGAGCAAATCTACTAATACTTTCTTTCAAGCACCTTCTTCTTCCTCTCAAGCAAAAAAGTTGCAGAGGCACTGAAGTAGTCACAATGCTGGTCTGGGGATTTTCTGTTTGTTGGTTGGTTTATTTGTTTCACTGGCAAGAAATTATTTATCTGCTAAGTTATACTGCAGAATATAAAACAGTACAAAAATTTTAGAGAAGCACAGATGCCAGTGCTGTGGGGCAAGTATAGTGATTATCAGATACTCAGCTAAATGATTGAGGGTATGTTAAACAGCCATTCAGCTAAAAAAAAATAAATCCAAATTATAGTCTTTATTTTTTGACTGGAGAAATTAGAAGCAGCTAAGGATAAAAGTTGGAAAGAAGACTTGTGCAGTTCCTATGTTCAACACTGTTTTTAGATTTTCCCCTCTTAAAGCTGTAAAATATGAAAACATGGTAAACCTAATCCCTTCAATCAGTAAAGTGTGTGTGACTGAATTTCTTGGGGAGGGGGGGAAAGAGGATGCAACAATTAGGCAACTCATTTTAACCTCTTAAGCTAAGATCATTTATGCAAAACCATTGCCTGAAATGAATTTTCAAGGCTGACTATTTGAAGATTAGCAGTAGTTTAAAAATGACAGAGCCTTTGCTGCACAGAGCACATGAATGATGATACAAATAAAGGCAGGAAAAACTCAGAGCATTTAAAGACATTTTAAACCAAAACAGAGGAAACAACAGCTTGAAAGGGTGGAAGTGCATTTTAATGGGTATTACTTAACATGTTTACACTTTTTCATTTTTTTTTTTTTACAGTTCAGCGTCTTACTCTTCCTGTGCTGTTGATGACAGACCATAAAGCCAGCTCAGAAGTATGGCACAGCTCACAGTAGCCTGATTTGAAACCCTAAGCTTCATAAGGGCTAAGACTGAAACAATAAATCGATCACCCCCCTCTGGTTTCTTTGTACAGTCACATACCTTGCTACAAATAAAGATATAGGATGGGAGAAAATGTTCTCTTTTCCATTTCATTACCTCATTTGTTCCAGGTCGTACAGGTAAACTATTACACAATTGACAATCTCCTACACTTTTGAATGGTAAAAAGGACACTTATATTAATGCACACATACTTGTACAGACCAGATTTCATCTCTGTGACTTTGTCATGGCAGGGTTCCTCCAAGATCAGCTTTGTCAAATGAAGGGATAATTAGGAAATAACAGTGGCATTGTTTATATAGATCAGTGATATTTTCTTATACATTTTAGAGGGGAATTCAACCAAGTTCCCCTTCAGAACAATATGAAAATTGTTGGGTTTATAGTAGGCTCCCTTCAAACACTGTAGAATTACAGTTAAATAAATTTTGAATGCTAAATTTTGGGGTTTTATTAATTTTATTTACTTACTTTAAAATATCTTCTTGAAATATAAGAAAATATTATTGTTTGGGTTAGGTTTGGTTTTTGCATTTTAAAATAGAGAACATAAATTAATGACTGTTCTATTCATGCTGTTTCTCTTTGATCTTCTACTTTAACTTCTTGTAGCAAAAAAAAAAAAAAAAAGAAAAACACTAGGGTGTTCCCACGGGGTACAAAAGCTTGAAAAGAAGCAACAACACCTTGGTAATAAAAAAATTTCAAAGGACCATATTTCAAGTTGTGGGAGTGCAAGGAACATCATTTCTTATATAAAATGCACATCACCTCTTGTGAACAGCAGCTGAGGAGACTGCATATGCCCTTCATAGGAATTATCTAGCAGATACAAACGAAGGCAGTTTTGATAACTAACCTAATAAGTTCCAAAGAGTAAGGGTGGGCAGTTCAAGCTGACATTTTAAGATTTCTTGACAAAGGGTAACGGGTAAAAGAAGGAGGAATGTCAGTTTTGCTACAGAAAGAAACTTAATTTCCTTAGTTTGGATGAATTCCAAGCAAAGTTAAAGCATTTTTACAATCCTTCTATTTCTTACACAAAGCAAACAGTTTTCTTCTGTTTACTTAGTCACATTGAGATGAGAAAAAATCCAGAGGCTTACAAGACAACAGATGTCTGCTTTTCAAATACTGGTTCAACTCTTTGATGAAAGGTAGTGTTGTTTTCCTTCTGCGCATTGCAGGTTAAAATGAATCAGGCTGTTAGCAGGACATAATTTTTCTAGGAATCGTGCCTTCGGTTTGAATTAAAAGGTACATAAAAATGCATAGTTAATTTAATTTATTTTTACCATTTCCCAAATACTTTGTTATTTAGTCTAAATCAGGGCATTAGTCCAGAGAGTCAATATGATTCTTCAGAATTATAAGTAATTAGGAGTCAGTTTATGTCAGGTTAAGGTCTCTTTTAATTTCCCATCTTCATATATGGAGCAGATTATCCTGTGTGAAATCACACAGCAGCTACAGGATGGACAAGGGATCAGACCCAGCCAACATGGGTTTAGGAAGGGCAGGTCCTGTCTGACCAACCTGATCTCCTTTTATGATCAGGTGACCCACCTGGTGGATGAGGGAAAGGCTGTGGATGTGGTCTATCTGGACTTCAGCAAAGCCTTTGACACTGTCTCCCAGAGCATACTCCTGGAAAAGCTGGCAGCCCATGGTTTGGACAGGGGCACTCTGTGCTGGGTCAGGAACTGGCTGGCGGGCCGGGCCCAGAGAGTGCTGGTGAACGGGGCTGCATCCAGTTGGCGGCCGGTCACCAGTGGTGTTCCCCAGGGGTCAGTGCTGGGCCCAGTCCTTTTTAACATCTTTATCGATGATTTAGATGAGGGGATTGAGTCCATCATCAGCAAATTTGCAGATGACACCAAGTTGGGAGGGAGTGTCGATCTGCCGGAAGGCAGGAGGTCTCTGCAGAGGGATCTGGATAGACTGGAGAGATGGGTTGGCTCCAACGGGATGAGGTTCAACAAGGCCAAGTGCCGGGTCCTGCACTTTGGCCACAACAACCCCCTGCAGCGCTACAGGCTGGGCACAGAGTGGCTGGAGAGCAGCCAGGCGGAAAGGGACCTGGGGGTGCTGATCGACAGGAGGCTGAACATGAGCCAGCAGTGTGCCCAGGTGTCCAAGAAGGCCAGTGGCATCCTGGCCTGGATCAAGAACAGTGTGGCCAGCAGGAGCAGGGAAGTGATCCTTCCCCTGTACTCTGCATTGGTGAGGCCACACCTTGAGTATTGTGTTCAGCTCTGGGCCCCTCAGTTCAGGAAGGATATTGAGGTGCTGGAGCGGGTCCAGAGAAGAGCAACGAGGCTGGTGAAGGGACTTGAGCACAAGTCCTACGAGGAGAGGCTGAGGGAACTGGGGTTGTTTAGTCTGGAGAAGAGAAGGCTTAGAGGCGACCTCATCGCTCTCTTCAACTGCCTGAAGGGAGGTTATAGCCAGATGGGGGTTGGTCCCTTCTCCAGACAACCAACAATAGGACAAGGGGACATGGACTCAAGCTCTGCCAAGGGAGGTTTAGGTTAGATGTTAGGAAGAAATTCCTTACAGAGAGGGTTATCAGGCATTGGAACGGCCTACCCAGCGAGGTGGTGGATTCACCATCCCTGAAGGTTTTCGAAAAGTGATTGGACGTGGCCCTTAGTGCCATGGTATAGTAATTGGAGTTGGATCAGGGATTGGACTTGATGATCTTGGAGGTCTTTTCCAACCCAATCTATTCTATGATTCTATAATTCTATTCTATTTTAAAGACCTGATACTCTGAATCATTACTTTCATCACTTGTTATATACACCCAAGTGTGTAGTCCTGACACAGATGATCTTAATTCATGCCAGAATTTCCAGTTACTTCATTAAGATTACTTGACCAATTAAGAGCTGTTTACATGAATAGGGCTTGTAAGACCAGCTTGTGTCACTGTCATTCACCTCCCTGTTTCTTCCTTCTACACTCTTTGTCTTCCTTATCCACAAGTAATTCTGTCTCGGTCAGCATAGAAATGTTCTTTGCAGCACTGTTTACTCATCTCTACACCCTAGGTGTAAGGAAGAGCTATGACGGTGATAGAACACTAGCACAGCTTACCTGGAAAAGTTGTGGATGCCCCATCCGTGTAAGTGTTCAAGGCCAGGCTGTATGGGGCTTTGAGCAAGCTGGTCTAGTGAGAGGTGTCCCTGCACTCAGAGGAGGGGTTGGAACTATATGATCTTTAAGGTCCCCTCCAAGCAAAACCATTCTGTTTCTGTGATTCTGATTTGTGCAGCTCAGGACCTGTGCAACAGTAAGCTTAAATGAGACTATCCTGTCATTTTGCATAGAATATAGTACTTAATCCCTGCCAAAAATTAGGTGAAGAGAGACCAACTAACCTGTCCAAACTAGACCAGGCCTGTGATCTTACAGAAAATCTTATGATAGCTTGAAGTATGGAAGTAACTATGCAGCTCCAACAAAACTTATTGCCAAAGAAACTAGGCACCCAACATACAGATCTACTTCTTTACGATTTCTCTGGGGTTTTCTGGAAAAACAATTTCAATAGGGCAGTGCATATCCCATACTTGCGCCCTCCTCTGCTGCAGCGAAAGACTATCCTCAGCTGCCTTGCTGTGGACACTTTGTATCTCAAAGGTTGGTGTTAGTAGATATTTTTGTTGTAGTAAGAGTAGGGGTGACAGGTGGGATAAAGTTTGCAATAGCAGAGTTTGGAAGTACTATCATTCTGTATTGACTTGTATAACAGATACACCTTTCATCTGTAAGAAATGCCAGTATCAAATATATATACTTACATATACACTAACCTACATAGATATTGGCATATATATTGATGGTATAAATTCAAGGAAGGTGCTTGTACTACACAAAATCCCATAAAAGAGAAGTTAGGTAAAAAATACTGCATTTAGTTCTTTGTACAATTCATCAACAACTGATTTTTTGTTAGAGAACGGTGAATCTGAGCCAGTCATTTGCACACTTAGGAAGGCTATATGAATTTGAGCTGGTGCTAGGAATTGTGCTTTTGGAGAATATGGACACTGAAGTTCAGCAACCACGATTTTTTTCACATTAAATGAAGAGAAAAAGTAAATCACAGTACGGATTCAGCAGTCTCCTCAGGAAGTCTGTTGATGACATCCTCAGAACACAAACACCCCTTTTTTGTAGACCAGCAGGTGTGAAGGACATGTTGTGGAGCTCACTTATACAACAGCATTTATACCTAAAACTGCTGGGTAGACTGGATTGATGTGAAGAAAAAGACTTTCTGTGCTCTTCTAATATCATTATCTTTTCTGATTAGGTTATCATGCAAATATTATCAAAGACACAGTTTATCTATAGTATTGACATTCCCAACACTGACATTCTCAGGTCAATATACTAAAATTATAATACACTTCCTGTGATTTAAGAATAAAATTAGCATACTTTTTATACATAAACCCTCAAAAACCACAACAAAAAAGATAAAACCTCACCCTTCAAAAAAGCACTGCTTGAAAGCAAGTCCTTGGATAACAGGTATCTTTACACATCTGCAAATAAATGGAAATACCAAGTCTCTTGCAATAGAGGGAGAAGTCTTTGGATATGTATGAGACTATTGGAAGGTAGGAAGGATGCAAGGGGAAAGCAAGCATTATTTGATGAGGGGAAGCTTTTAGGCATATTGCTTCTGAAGAAGTTCTTTTTCAATATATGAGATGACTGACTGTGTACACAAGAAAAGCAGTGGCTACTGTTTATCTTGTGTTAGGGCATCTAGTCTGTCCCTTTTGGCACTGCACTAGGTCCAACAACCAGGGAAGAAAATTGCGCACCTGGGGTACAGTCAGTATAGGTTTGCTGTCCTACTGCTGGCCACACTGATAAGCTGCAGGGCTCTTCAATGGTTCATCAAGGTCTTGAGTGCAAAATGGGATCTACAATGTTTTCCTTCATCTCTCCTCTCAAGGCTTTGGCTACCAGTGTTCAAGGCCAACTCTGATTTAATGCAGCTGTGGA